ATTATGATTACAAAAAAAAAGTTTTATTTTAATACAAATATATATAATATTGTTAGGCCTTAATTGTTTTAATTAGCATAAAGTATGATATAATAATGTCGTGAGAACTTTTAAGATGCAGCAGAGGAATCAGGGGGATATTGTAGGCCATAGAGAATATATTATAATAAAATACAAAGGAAAGGTGTTTATTTCAAATACTACTCAAGCATGTTCTGGATATCACTAAGCTCCAAAAAGAAAAACTATGTTTTTTGCAAAAAAAATAAATTATATTTTTGGCTTTTGACTAGATTTGTGCATATTATTATATTTTGAATTTTATTAAATTACTCACTTTTTCTATACCTATTTTTATTGAAATCAGGACATAATTTCTGTTGTTTTCACAAAACTCAGAGGGGTGCGCATAATTTTTTTTCCCCCCCCCCACAGAACTCATAAGAATCGAGTAAATATTCTTAGAAAATTCAGATAAATTTTGAAAGCAAGAAAAATATATTTTTAATAAATATTTCCCCTGCAGTTTTTTAAATAGTAAAAAAAGAAGCAAAGAAAAAGGCTGCGCTAATGAGATGTGGTTGAAGTGAAGCTAGGTTGGAAGATAAAGATGAGAAAAAAGAGGTTATCTATAGCTGCCATCTCCTGGTGCTGGAATCACTTTTCAAATTGAAATTACTATAAAATCATTTAGAGATTAAAATATCAATTTATTCAAGTCTTCAAGCACGATTGTGTATACAGAGGCTTGCTTTATCTCGGTCGCATAATTGATGAATTGTAAATAAATAATAAATATTTTGAATTCATTTGAATAAATAATAATTTATGTCAGTCACATGACATGAACTCTTGTATGAATCATATTGTTATAAGTAATTTTCCATTTGAAAAACTAAAATTCGTAACAAAATGTATCATTACTCGTAAATAGTTATTTAGATTTAGTAGAATATAAGGAGTAATTCAATGCACTCCTCCAATCCTATTTATAAGGCTAAGATAATTTTTTTTATCCTTAAGATGAGTCACCTTATTAAATTTTTATGAACCCACAATTGTTCCCACTATTTATTATTACTTATTATTTTCTTAGAGGGTGTGCATATGCATATTAAATTAGAGTAAAGTTTAAAAAATATTTAAATTTTAAAATAAAGTTAATAAATTTTAAGATTTTTATTGCATGGGAATAAATAACTCAGAAATACATTATAAATATATAGGATTGAAAAAAGTGTTAGGTGAGCCTAAATCAAGGGAGGAATTAGAAATGATTAGTTAGCAGTAAGATTGTGGTGTAATTGTTGAACAATGAGGTTATAGGTTTGATTGGCGAGTTGGGGAAAAGCAGGATATGCTAAAGTGTATCTTCATGTAACGACAAGAGAAGAAGTGCATTATTTTTTGTAGTCAAACTCGGAATCATCACTCCTAAGAGAAGCCATAATTTTTGACTATTTTGTTCAACAAAATCATCACCAGTTTTTTTTTTAGGGGATGACGTGGCCCTTGAGAACTCATGAAATAAATATACCTCAAGAGCAATAAAGAAGGTATATTTTTTTTTTGTTCGAATATTCAAAACACAATGGTATTTGTGATTGTCAAATGATTCTTTGGATCTTAATCACCAAAATATTCACAAGACAAATAGATATAGGAGACCCTCTTTTTTTTTTTTTTTAAAAAAAAGATTAACCTTCTTTTAATGGCTCTTGAAGAGAGTATATAATCTTATGGGTTGATATTACTATTAGTTTTTATAGTTTGATCAAATTTCGAATTTAGTTTTTATAACTTCAAATCGTTGGTTTTTGTTCCTACGGATGCAAACTAAGTCTTTACGAAATTACAGGCCAATCAAAACTAATGATTTGAAATTAGACCAAAATTGAATTAAATCATAAGAAGCAACAATTATATGAAACCTAATCTTGTTGTTTTTTTTTTTTTTGGTAGAAACCAGGTGGTATCCCTTAGCCGATAGCCAGAGAGATCACCGAAGTGGGTTTTGCCTTTCCCAACAAAGCCTTTTCCATGCACACGGCCTGATTCGAACCCAGGACATCATGTTTAAGGGACCCAGCCATCTACCAACTGTGCCGGGCTTTGTTGGTAACCTAATCTTGTTGTTATTGACGAACAATGATGTGATTAAAAGAAGGTTGTTTTGTTTTGCCAACAAAAAAAAAATTCATTAGTAATCTTTAACGCTAATACAATTTAGGATAAGCAAATAGGATGGGCCAAGCCTATATTATAAGTTATATAAAAGAAAGGTAGCTTATGTATTCGGCAGATGCATAATTAAGAGTGGTTGTAGTTTCCGAAACAAGTCAAACCCTAAATGGCACAAGTTTCCATTAACTCTTGCAACTGCCCTTATTAATAATGCTCTTTGTTTTAACATAAAGATCCTTGAAATGTGAGAACGGAAAACACATACTCCTACTTCATTCCATTTCGTATTATCTGTTATAAAAGTGTTGTCTTCATGTTCCACAATACTCCCTCCCGTCCAATATATAACTTCTAATAACTAATTCGTGGATAAGAAATAATTAATTAAAATTAGTTAAAAGTATTCTTCCGGTCCTAAATATAAGATCATTTTTATAGTGTAAATTACAATATAAAAAAGGTCTTATATTTAGGACCGGAGGAGTAATAAATAAGTTAGAAATATAATATTGTTTCCAAATATATCCTTATAATAAATGAGAAAAAAGATAAAAGAGAATGTATGGAGAAATGTGGTAAGAGAGAGTATGATAAAAAAGAGAAAATAAATAATTACGGGCAAAGTTGGAAAAATGTATTAAATGTTAAGACAAATCCAAATTAAAACTTATAAAATGGATTACATCCCTCTTCAAATTTGAAGCTTATATCTAGGACTAGAGGGAGTAGTTATCAATTTTGATTTTAGATTTCAAGAATGTATTAACCTTTTATTATCTATAATTCTAGATTCCAAAAAAGTATTAAATTATGAGTAATATTTATTTAAACAGTCCTAAAAGTACAGTCACATTAAATATTCTGTAGGAGAGCTAGAGTAACACCCTTTTCTATAGTCCTTCTCGACTTAATCTGAATTAGTTTTATGTCTCCAAAAAGCCTCCCAACCCAATTCTTAGGAAAAAGAAAGAAAGAAAAACCAAGTCAAGGGAATTGGGTTGAGGTGAACTTGATATTGAGAGGCATAGGACGGACCCTCCCAAGTTTGGGGTTTTTGAGGGAAATGAATTAAATACTCATACTTCCATTTCTTGGTTTTTGGACAAGACTGAATCTGATGCCCATCTTTGCATAGTTTTGTGCAATTTCACTATAATTTAATATCACTTCCACTTCTAATTCTAATCCTTCTTTATTCTTTGGTATACCTTCTAATCCTAATCCTAATTTTTCAGGACTGCCAAAGTAGACTGGGTTATATGTGAGGTTGCTCATTTCAACCCAGTTTAATTAAAGTTGGTGGGTCAGGCCCATGTAATTGGGTTCATGAAGCCCAGTCCTTTCTAACACCATCTTTAAAGTCCACTTCATCAGTTAACCCCATCAAGTGGGTTGGAAATGAGGTTGCTTCGTTCAAGTTTGCAATCAACTTCGTTAGGACCAAAAAAAAAAAAAAACAACCCACATAAATTGTTATGGCTTGAGAAATGATGAAAAATATAATGAGAAAAGGTAAAGGTAAATACAGGTGATAAAAGAAAAATCGTTAACATCTCATCATAATTCAAGTTAAAAATGAGAAGATAAGAAAATAGTAAACGGTAAGTTTTCTCCCCATTTAATGACAACAAATTTTTGAATTCAAATATGAGTTCGGTATACTAATAACGAGAGGATGATGGACAAGTCAAGATGCATATTTAAAGGCTTTGTTTGGTTCAACAGAGAGGAGAAGAGGAGAGGTTAATTACAAGAAGGGGAGAAGAGGGAAAGGGAGGTCATGATTTTGTTTGATTGAAGGGGAGGAGAAGAGAGAAGAGATTTCTTGTTTGATTCATAAGAGGAGAGAGATGAGGTCATTATAAATTGACAAATATGTCCTTATCTTTATATTTAGATTGATTTTTTTATTACAATATTTATATCAAAATTATTATTTCTTAATTTATCAATTTTAAAAAAAACCAATTACCTCACTTGCATGTGATTAAAAAAAATGATAAAACTAAAAAAAATAGAAAATATGATAAAAAGTTTAACATTCTATTTCATTAATTTTATAAATATATGTATTAATATATATGATATGTATATATTATATAATTATAACACACACATTATGATATGTATATATTAATATATATGCATGTTATCTGAGATAATAATACACACATGCTATGATACTATCTCCGGTCCTTAATATAGGATCTCGTTTAATTTTTATTTTAGTTCTAAATATAAGACCCTAATCTACTTTGTCTCTAATATTTATACATTTTTTTTCAAGATAGTCCTTATAACAATAGTAGTTCTAGTCAATACACTTGATTAGCAAGGATATTTTAAAAAAGACAACACTATTTATGACAAATAACTAATTTAACTTCTTTTTAGTCTCTTCAAATTAGTTAATTAGCTCTTATAATTAGGACCGGAGGTAGTATATAATTATAATACAAACATGTTATGATATGTATATATTAATATATATGATATGTATATATTATATAATTATAATATTATATTATCATTATCAAATATTATTAGTGGCTAAAAAGAGAAAGAAGGGAATTTTTTTTTTTTTTAACAAGATGGACAAACTTGAAATATTAAAAAGTTAGTATAGATAGTTTGGTTAATATTAGACATAATATTTCTCTCTCCTTCAAAAAACCTCAAATGTGAAGGGGAGGGGAGCACTAAAAGAAAATTTTTTTCTCTCCCCTTCCTTCTATTTTTTCCAACTAAACACACTTATCTCCTCCTCTCCTCTCAACAACCTTCCAACCAAACAGAGTCTAAGGGATATCAAAGGCTAGCATGATACCCTAGGTCCAAAATTTGATAAGTTTTCTGGTCAGATCCCTAATTAAATCTCAAGCTATTCCGTCAGTCCAAATTACAAACCCTAGTTTTCAAAAGATAGTTACATTGATACATAACATAATAAATTTTACTTTAACTCCCCTACTGCTACAAACTAACATACATGTCTTCCTCTACATTATACATACAGCTTGGAAGAACATAAACTCTTCATGAGACAAATTATTCTTCTTCGAAGTCCAGGAGGAAATCAGTCAAGTTCTCAGAATCATCTACAGCCTCTTCCAAGGATAAGGGCTCATTCTTCTTGGGCTTAGGCTGCAGGTTTGAGAAGGGAAAAAAATCCTAATTTGTTTATTCATTTTTACCGATGCAAAATAAGAAACAAGTAATATCTACCTGAGGCTAATGTTTCAATAAGACAGTACAGAACAAGGAAATTTGTTTGCACATTGAAAAAATATTCATTTTTACTGCACAAAAATCAAAATATACATTATTTATTATATTCCTATTATCATTACTTAACCATAAGTTTTTTTGTCACTTTTTTTTAAGTCCCAGGGCATGAGGCGCATTTCTCATCTACCTAAAATTATTCTTTTCATTATATTCCTCCAGTCTTAAATATAAGACCCCTTTTGTAGTGTAAATTACACTACAAAAGGAACTTATATTTAGGACTGGAAGAATATTTTCATTTTATTTAATTAAGCAAACCTAACAGATCCTAGAACCCTACTAAACAGAGACAAGGAAACCAAGATGACAGTCCTATGACTATGAGTACGGATACTCCGTTCAAAGCAATATAGAATCCTATTAAAGGCAATTGTGGTATTTCAACTATCATTTCATCAATAGTTATTGCTGTAAGAGCTAGGGCGTTCAATAATTGTTTATTCTAAACAATCCAAACAGTCCATGATAGCATGTTATGAAGCCATGAGGAATATAAGAATACCTTTGACTTGCGAAGCTGTGGGCTAGTTTTTAAGACACTCCAATTGCGAGTAATCTTCTTTCCCTCTTCCTCTTCCTCTCCCTCTCCCTCTTCCTCCCCCTCCTCTTCCTCTTCTTCTACACCCTCAAGGTCACTCTCCTCCTCCTCTTCATCCTGACGTAAGAAAGAGAGAATAACAGTAGAAATGTTACTCGCAAGTTGCCATCAAGCCTCTACCGGGCAACTAAGAGTCAATTGTTTTATGTCCGAGTTAAAGAGAGCAAATAAATTCTCATTAAAAATGGTCAGTCAAGCCTCACATCATTTTCACCAATGTCAACAGCTTTCGCCATAGCTTCATCCATATCTGTCATCTGCCATAATGGAAATAAAAGGAATCAAATCACGCATCTATAACAAAATTACAGGTTTTAAGCCAGCGAGCATTTGAACAGGAGGAAAAAAACTTATAAAAAAATGTTTCTGAGAAGTGATATGCTGCAACATCAGACTTAATACAGCACAGTTCTCGCTTATCACTTCCTTACCTCAATTTGTTCCGTCTTTTCCTTTGCCAGAATCTTGTCAAGTTCTTCCCTTGAAATGATTTTTCCATGCTGATCACATGAAGGCAAAGTTCAGTATTTTACCATAGAGATAAATAGCCAAACATATTATTAAAGATCTGATATTACACTTATAAGTCTGAAACTTGAAAATTTCAGCAATAAGTATAAATGGAAAAATGAAAAGGAAACACTAACATAAATTTGAGAACACGATTTAGCCACTCTAGCCAGACAGAAGATGAATGTAAAGCTCAACATTATTATAAACAAGTTGGCTCGTATGGTCCTTTGCTTTATTCTGTTATCAAGAAAAGCAACCGGCAGGAGCCATCTGGAAACAATTAGAATTTAGTTGTTTTTGATGAATTTATTTTGGTTAGATTTTATAAAAAGGAATTCATTTTGGCTACTAATTTAAGTTGTTTGGGTCTTTGGGTATCTAATCCCATGTCAAGATCCATTGATAAAGAGACATTTCGTCATAGCATGATGAAAATAACTGTCAATGATTATTCAAAACATTCCTTGACTACACTGAACTGGACATGTGTGGCACAGAGAACGAGTTGGACTTTCACAGTCCCATTAAGGTGTCCAATTCATTTCGATTAAAAAAAATAATAATTGAATCAATGCAATGGAATAAATTATTAGAAAAATAACCTCTTTAAGATAAGCCAGCATATTTGGCGTTGGTTCATGAAAATCTGGTCCCCTGAAGTCAATCACTTCATCAGGATCTTGAATATAGTTTATAGTTGGGTAAACTGGATCTCCACCCCAAACTGCATGAACAGAGATTTTAACTAGCATTCTGGATAAAAAAGCAAACAGTAGTAGTAAAAGATGCAATATTACTAATGTCTGCATATGGTAGATGGCATTATTGTAAATGGTGCTGACTTGTTTAAGTAACATGACAGAAATAACAGTGAAAGCCATTGCATGGAGTATCAGGATATGCATGGAAGAATGAAATAGACCACATGAAAAAATGAAACGAAACTTCAGAAGAAGAGTAGTTTGACCGCTAAATTGTTGTGAAGCAAGCATAGATAACCATACAAAGGACGAGGATAAAAGGAAGAAACTGACATAAAAGATAAAAGGAAGAAAACACATGACCAATATGAGGGTATTATAACAAGTAAGTAGAAGGCAAAATTTTCCTGTTTGACATTTTTTTAAAAACTTAAGGTCATCGTAATTGTACTTATCATTCCTCCACTCAACGCTAGCAGGTCAAGCAATTCTTTGACATTTAAAGCCCAGAAACAAGCTGGTTTAGAATTCAATCTTTTCCACCTATGCTTTTATTTGAAATTTTGATACACGATAAGCGTTGAGAGGCAGATACTCACAGCTAAGGTGATGGTGATTCTCTTCATCATTCACATTTCATCCCTCGTGAAATTTCACAGGCAAAAATGCCCTCTGAGATAAAACGCATTCTATGGAATTTGCTTAACAGGTTGTTGCCTAAAAAGTTTTAGTTTGATTTGTCATGACAAATAATGCCACATGAAACTGTGCAAGCTAAAAGTAATATAGTTTAAAATATATAGGCAGATGAGAGAAGAAAACTACTAAAGAAAGATCTAGACACAACACACAAAGGTTTAGGCTTTGATGTAAGTACTTTGCTTTATTTGATCTTCCCTCATTCGCATTGCTAGAGGATCCCTACGGATACGAACATCGGTCCCCATCATTATGCGATACTCTCGGTCTGTTTGATGGCTAAACATTTCAATTAATTGAGTGTTTTCGTCTTCACCAGTTTCTTCAAAATGTTTCTGAACTGCTTCACGAGAAGTGTCCCTCTTCCAAGCTTTTACCCATTCTGAGTAGTATGCTAGTGGCCCTATCCTTTCCAGTCTCTCTTGTTCAGCTTGAAGCCTGAATACAAAAAAAGAGTTATTTTCACAAACTTCAACTAAGTGGGACATGCTACTACGGGAAGCTTGTACAATCAACATTATCAGGTTTGCAGGCCAATCATAACAAAGACATGATAAAACACGGTTCCTGATGTGCTGATTTAGGTGAAAGTGATTGTGAAATTTTTAAAATATATTTACATCGATGTTTCACATACAATAAGAAATTAGACCTGTCTTGATTTTGTCCTGTGCTTACTGTGAGAGTCTTGAGTCCGAACAAAAGGACAGTGGTTCCTTATGGCCCTAGGAACAGTTGTGCATCCAAAATTTGGGATTCTCATCTTGTGTACAGGATTTTCTTTGAGGACAATACTCATGCATCATCCACCCTGACACTCAAGAGCAAGTAAGTTTCACTTTTCACCTATTACCCAAAACCTAGTAATTTTTGTTAGGATCTGATTACAAGGGCACATGAGTTTCACATTGGAAGTGAGGGGTTTAGAGAACTTGGATTCTCTAACTTCAAGAGCACTTTTAGGGTCCAACTCTCTTAAGGTTTCTATTTATTGCTATCAAAACAGAGTTGATGGAGAAACCCAAACTTAGACACCACACATGGATGGCCAGCGACCTGAGGAGTAAATGCTTGATTTAGGTTACTGCTTAAATATATAATATAAATAACATTAATAGCTGGTCCTCCAAAGAAGCATGAAATAAGTTTGATGAATCTGCTCAGTCCTTTTAGAATTTCTCAATTTCCAAGGAACTCTATATTAAAAGTTTCTGCTCAGATACTCATTTAAGCACTTACATACAGGATATGCTAAACAATGACACAATTTGATTTCAAGACTTATCAGAACTATTCTGCTAGTATAATAATCAACGTTACCTTTCTTCCTTAAAAATGTGGCGTCTTGCACGGTAAAGCGAAGTTTCTGTTAATGTTGGATGGTCACCATAAAGCTTTACTTGCCCAGTTTCTGCCATGGCTTTCAGGAAAACCTGAAAGAGATGATGAAGAAGCTCACAGTCAATATGGAAGACACCTCAATAAACTTCATAATTTGCAACATATCCGATGGGCTTGTAGGCCTCTTCTAATGAATATAAGCATGGAGAATCTGAAAATGGCATCTAAAATGGTATGAGGAATGTGGGCATCTACATCTGAGATGATCGTTTTGGAATTAAGCCCAGCAAAAATGGCATGTTTTGACAGAGAATGTGCTAATATCAACAGGAATTATTGCCCCAAAAAAGGAAAAAAGAAATCATGACCTTCTGAAACATTAAATTGGTTTAGAAGAACAACCATTCAGATACAAGTCAGGATTCTAAAGCAAACAAGCAATGAAGTGAAAAATATCCATTAGATGCTAGCCATAAAGGAATGTGACTGAGCACGGGTGTGAAATTTATGACCTCTCTGATCATTGGACAAACAATATACTTGTGTTGTGAGACAAATATTCCCCACCAATTTGCATGGTGTGGTTCAGCAATAATAGATGTGATCATTACAACCAAAAAACATTTTCCAGGATCATATCATATACACTAACCGTTTCGACATCAGGTCGCCTCCTTTGCCATCTGGACCATTGCTCTTTTTCTGGCTTTTTCCAATGCCACCACAATTCTTCACTTGAACGTGGTTCCTCTATTGGCTTTTTAACTTTCGGATCAATAAATGGATGGGGACGTCCTAATTTCTTATCTAGGTCATATCCAGTCTCTTCTGCCTCAGGTTCAGATTGATAAACGACATAGTCAGATGAGAAATCTTGGGAATCTTCTGCGGACTCTACTGAAGATTCAGGAGGGTTAGGATTATTTGATTCCACATAAACCTCAGAGGAAGCAGCCGCAGATGATTTGTAATTCTTCCTCCTACTTCCAGGCTTTTGACCATAAGACGGTGATCCTGACGATTCACCTGTTGGTTCAGGCGCTCTAGCAGCCCTAACTAGGCTAGCAGTACCCTCAGGCCAATACTCCTGCTCAGGAATACTTGCTCGAGCACCAGAGGCTGGTTCAAGCTCGCCAGAAGTTGAGTCTTTGTATACATGGTAGGGTGGACGTTCAACATATTCATATTCAACATAGTCATCTTTCTTTTCACACTTTATACAAGTATATGGCATAAGCCTCCTTCGTGAATTACTCCAACCAAGTCTAACTTGCAAAATTCCAGCTGGAAATGAACCCAGGTATGGCTTCTACAGGTTTCAAGAATCATACAGATTAACAGTCAAGCATGATAAAGTGAGATAATGAAACAACGACATACACAAGAAAATCTCTGAACCAAGAGAAACAGAGAGAGACATGTAATTTATCAGTTTACCGCATTTAAGTTCCTTTGAAATTCAAAAGTGACAATTATATCACCAAGATATACCACAGTGTAGGTGAAATCCAAAGCAAGCCACAAGCTAGAAACTATAAATTAGAGACACCCTTCAAGAAAATAAACACAAAGCCACTGAAAGAAGATAAGTTGAAATTGTTGAGAAGAGAAAGAAAGAAACCGGGAAGTGGTTGAAGCACAAGCTGCCCCCAACATTGCCATGAATAGATGCCATAAGGTCCCACTAAGGATCGCTTCTGGGTTTGGAAGGATATGGTAATAAAACAAGGTGGTCAGCAGTGGCGCCGCATCAAGCCGTTCCAAAGCAAAGAAAGATTAACGAATGGGAGAGAGGGCGAGAATAGGAAGAGAGCCCTTCGTCAGAACTGAAACGAAGACGCAGTTTCGATTGAGAAGCGACCCTGGGGCGGGAAGAGGGTCACCAGAACTAGCAAATGCTGCTTCTATCGTCCCCTTATCATATTCATCTGCAAAGTTATCAAAGAAAAATTCCTGAAATATTCCGTTGCAGAAGAACACACTTATTTTGTACCCAAAAAAAAAAAAAAGTTATACATGTTGGCATATTTTAAATTTAAGAAAATCATTAAGTAAGTGTCCAGCAAAAAAAATATTAGTTAAAATTTTCAAACTAAATCTTTTATTTTTTTTCTGAATATAAATTTTTTAACCTGAGAACTATGACTTCCATGATCAAGCTCTTTTTTTTTTTTTTTTGCCTGACCATGATCAAGCTATTTGATCAAGCACCTTCTCCATAATATTAAACACATGTTAAGAGAGGATTCGAGCATTATTTTTAATCATATTTATTAATAAGCTAAAGATATTATACAAATAAGTTCAAGATCTTTCAATATTATTATCTTAAGCTAGATTTTCTATTGAGAACTGGAGGTGATATTTCCTTCGCCACTATATGTTGTAAGAAATTAGTCCATATTGATATAAATCATATGCGAATCTCATAGATATCTGTTCTAAACTAACGGGTTGGTTAGAAGAGATAAAAAATCTAAAATTTGAAACCTAGAAAAAATTATCCCACAAAATAAAACTAAAACATGAATAAATAAATGAACACTAAATCTATGTCTCTCTACATCATGTTACTTGTCTCTAATTACTATCTCTGCTTTTTAATATAAAAACTAGTTAACTAATTTAAGTAGATTAAAAAAATTAGTTAAATTAGTTATTTATAATAAATAGTTATTATCTTCTTTAAAATACCATTGTCAATCATATATATTATTAGAACTACATTTGATAAAATCTTTAATATGTATAATTATTATAAGAATTATTTTAAAAAATAAATAAATAAAAGAGATAAAATAAATTAATTATAAAGATAATAGCAATTAACAACCTTTTGACACGAGTGCCACTTAAAACTCACTCATATTAATTTAATACTTATCTGGCCTTGAAATAACAAGTATTTGGTGTGTCCTTGTTTTAAAAGGTGTTTGGAAGCACTCAAAAGTGCTTTTTAGAAATATTTTTCATAAAACGAGATAAACTCTTCTACATATTTATCTCGTATATCATAAAAGTATTTTTAAAATTATAAATTTGATTCTATCCAAACACCTCCTTAATGATAATTGATAAGGTTACATTTCAAAATTTTACCGCCTTGACAACAGGTGATCTATGTATGTTGACCTTGACCGATCTAGAATTATTTTCTGATGGGGTGAGATTTAATTTAAGAAAAATTACCATGAGGTTTGGAAGAAGGAAATATAATTACAAGAAAATCTTAATAACAAGTGTGTTGTAAAAATCCCGTTGTGATTTCTTACAATGAACCCTATTATTAGTAAGTTGCAGATTTTTGACAATTATATATTTTTTGGAACAGCACAGTAATTTTCCCTTTAATAAATAACCTCTTTCTCAAGCATAACTTCTTAGCAAAGGAGAAAGCTTTGGGGCCTGTTATAGAATTATATTTCATTCATGATAAAAAGTTAATATTTTTAAGATGCTGATACCTGAGAGAGAGAGAGAGAGATAGACATAATTAAACTCTTGTTTTATGCACAGATGTGAATTTTTTTTTTAATTTCAACAATTTCCTCTATAGACTAAGGACCCTATCACACATATAAATCTGAATTGGTCGTATATGTATTTATCTTATTTTCGTAGTAAAAAAAAACCATGAAACTTAAACATCACATTTTGGGGGGGAAAAAAAAAGAGAATCGACTCATGTTTTCTAACGGTGGAAACAACATAATAATTTTTTTACAACCTCACCTACCTTCTTCTGTTTTATAGAGGCTAAGTCTGATTAATCAAATTTATGAGCTAACCTAACATCTGAAAGAGATCTTGGGGTTTTTTTTTTCCTTGTGGACAAAAACACATTTCAGTTGCACGATTAGATGTCAAATCTTATTCATTATGGTCAAATTTCATGGTATATAACATTGTTTTTAACATAATGAAGATGTGACCTAGCAACCATAACACTTAGGTAATGAAAAATTACACAAAAATAATCTCTTTTTATGACATATAGAAGACAAAAAATTAATTATTGAACACAAACAAGTATGAGGTTTTTCTTACTTATTTATCTAAATATGTCACTGATAAAAATATAAGAAAAATGCTGATACAAAATTATTATCCAGCAATAGTCAATTATTTGACTTAAATTTAAATATTATATATCCATATACCAATCAAATAATACTTGATGCGTGTTATATAAGGAGACATGTTCCTCATACTTTTTAGTTTGAGAGAATTCTAATTAAATCCAGGTAAAATACTTAAATCTAGATTTAAGCTTATAATTTTGACAAATTCCTAATTAGACTATGAGACCTAATTAGAAATTTTCGAATGTTATTAAATAACCAGAATACTCTTCTTTAATTAAAAAGAAAAATTAATTATTTTACCTCTCCCGAGTGATCCCTCATCTCATGGTTTATTTTAGACCAAAAAACATATAAGTAATTTTACAATGTTTAAAATTTACATATATAACTTACACTATTAAAATATTTTAATAAAACATGCTAAATTACAAATATAAGTAACCTTTAAATAAATATTTTTTATCTTCAGTTCTTATAATTTACATTGATTTTATTTATTTAAACAATGTTGGATTCAGCAGAAAATGTAAATTATTACAACTTACCATTAAATATTTATTATAATTAAAATATTTTAAAATCTTAAAATAAATATTTATAATATGAAAAAAATTATTTAAATAATATTTATATTATAGCTTGAAATGTTGTATGAAAATATTTTGAAGGTTGTAATTATATATATAAAATTTCAAAAACTGAAAAATTATTTATATTTTTTCTAAATATTAATAATATGAGATGAATTTTTTATTTTCAACTAAAGAAGGGCATTATGATAATTTAACAACATTCAGCAATTCCTAATTAAGTCTCATATCCTAATTAAAAATTTGTTAAAAGTATAGGTCTAAATTTGAATTTAAGTATTTTGGCTAGATTTAATTGGGATTTTCCTTTTTAGTTTTTACAATGACAAAAATAAATTATTTTGTAATTAATACGGTAATAATGAAACTAATATAATAAATGTTACATATATAATTATTTTTTTTTTCACGATTGCCTTGTTTTTTTCCAACACATTTCTTGTATTCTACTAAACATAGGATTAACAAGAGAAAAAAAAGAGATTAGGAAAAGTTAAACAAGGCTTCAATGCAAGGGAAGTTACAAGTAAGCAAAGCACATTATATGGACACAAAATGAAATGATGAAGCCAAGAATGCTATACTAATTAAAAGCCAAGATGTGAAGGACAATACTTTCCACTTTTTTATTTTTTAAGAAAATTAAACACTTCTTATATTGCTTTTCCGAAAATGGTTAATTTGACAACATTATTATTTTTATCTAAACTAAACAAGAGGCATGAGCCTCACACACACACATATATAGAAGTTTTTCTTTTTTATATTTATAAATTCTTTTGTGAATTTCATGAAACAATAAATATTCATATTCTATTCTACCTTGATATCCATATAGGGATATGGATATCAAGGTAGAATAGAATAAACATAGACGGAGTATTGATTGAGAATTAACTGTGCGACTGAAATTTTAGTTGATTTTTCAAAAAATACTTCAATAGTTGATGCGGTTATGCGATTTTTCAACGTTAATCAGAAAGAATGACAATTTTTTTAATAAATAATATAAGACATAATTGGAGAGTTAATTCGAACAATTATAATTTTTTTTTCAAATTAATTTTATTAATGTTCTCTTTGGTCATAAATGTAAAATCTATTTTGTAGTGTAATTTATACTACAAAATAGGTCTTATATTTAGAAACAAAAGATTATTAATTAATTCAACTAATATTCTTAATATACTCAAATTAGATAATTAGATCTTATATTAAAGATCGAAAGAGTATTTTTCTATCTAAACAAAAAAACCTCATCAGGTAATCAAATAGGAGAAGAAGGAAGAAAGGAAACTTAAAAGATACTTACAGTTTTAGAAAAAACATTATACTTCTCTGGTTCTAAATATAAAACATATGTTGACTTTACATTTGAGAACAAATAAGTATCAATTAATTTAACTAACATTTTTTAATAACAATTCAACTAATATTTTTAATATACTTAAATTAAATAATTAGATTTTATATTAAAAATCTGCGGCATATTTTTCTTCTGAGTTAAAGAACTCATTAGGTTGGCAATTAAAAAAACTCATTAGAGAAAGATAATACCAACTTATCAAAGGTGACAAATGTAAAAAGTCATAAAAATAAAATTAAATATGCATTCAACACTTTGATCTTATTTTCTGAATACATTCAGTATTCTAATATTTTTTGTACTGCATCTAACATCTTGAATTTTTTTTAGCTCATTTAGGATAATAATCATATTTTCAATGCATCTAATACACTAATATTTAGAGTGGCAGGTGAAAAAAAAAATCATATTGTTGGGCTAGAAAATAACATCAGCTGGTGGATCCACTTTTTAACAGTGAAATTTATTTAGCAATTTTCTCTTAAAAAGAAAAATGATATTGTAATAAAAGTACAGTGTGATTTTTTTCCCTGATAAAAAAAGGACAGTGTTATAATATCAACACACAAATACCGATTTTCTTTCTTTCTTTTTTCTTTTAATCTCGTTTCGAGTGTTCAGTTGTGCGTCCTCCCCACATACATGCTAATTTGCTAAATACCTGTCGTCGTTCGTCTTCATCTTCTTCTTTCGTCTATCTTTCAATGCTGCCTATATCTCTGGCTTCTTCAACCACGATCAAAGATCTGCGTTTCTATTCTTGGCCAGACCTTAATCTTGGCATTGGTTGCTTCTGTTTTTGTGCTGGATATCGAGTTTTCTGTTAAATGCTGGCTGGATTTTGAATTATTCAGGATTCTGCGTCTCAGATTGTTTTGGGGTTTCTTGCAATTTATTGTTGCATCGGAATATTGGTTCGAACTTGATATCTTTCCGTCCTCGGAGGTTTGTTTCTTTCCATTCAGGCCTAGAAACCCACTCCCATTGTCCAATACCTAACTGTATCAATTTTTCCCCCAAAGTTGGACGTGTTTTAGCCTTGAAGATTTGGCATTGTCTCTTTGTGCGTGCTTTGCCGGTTGTGGAACTTGTTTTGGTTTCTTCTGGTTAGGTAGTGTATGAGTCGAAGGGAAATTTTGTTTTGGAATATTGTGGACTAATTCGTGTATTAAAGATGAAGAGACCAAAAAATGAACCTCCCAATTCGAGGAGGTTCAAATTGTCTCATTTTTTGCTCGGTATTGGGGTGTTATATTTGATTTTTATATCATGTAAGTTTCCGCAATTTCTGAAGATTGTATCACAGTTAAGTGGGGATGAAAGCTACGCTACGCTGGATGAAGCAACTGTAGGAGGCTCTAATGATGCAGATTTAAGCAAACCCTTATTTAGTTCTGTTTATAAAGATGTATTTCACCGGAGCTTAGAAGATAATGAAGACCAGGATGCTCCAACGAGGCCAAACAAGGAGCCGATGAAAGAGGAACATGCCCCGGAAAATGTGAAGCAAACTCCACAGCGGTATGGCAGGATTACGGGAGAAATCCTGCGTCGATGGAACAGGACTAGTGATTTGACTGTTTTTGAGAGGATGGCAGACGAGGCATGGACGTTAGGGTTAAAGGCTTGGCGAGAATTAGATAAGGATGACGAGAAAGAATCGGGAGAAAGCTCTATCATTGAAGGAAAACCTGAGTCATGCCCTTCTTGGATTTCAGTGAGTGGAGAAGAATTGGTGAAGGGAGACCGGTTGATGTTTCTTCCTTGTGGGCTTGCAGCAGGTTCTTCAATCACTGTGGTGGGCACACCCCATTATGCTCGCAAGGAATTCGTACCCCAGCTTGCAAGGTTGAGGGGAGGTTCTGGATTGGTTTCAGTTTCACAATTCATGGTTGAATTACAAGGGTTGAAGTCAGTGGATGGAGAGGATCCTCCTAAGATTTTGCATTTGAATCCTCGTTTAAGAGGGGATTGGAGTAAGCAACCTGTAATTGAGCATAATACTTGTTACAGAATGCAGTGGGGAAAAGCTCAAAGATGTGATGGTTTCCCAAGCAGCGATGAAGAAGAAATGCTCGGTATGATTTATCATATTGCATCATAATTTGGAAGCACCTAGTTTAGATATTATATGTTGCAGAATGTAGCTTCCATTTTCAGACTAAGTGGAGGCAACAGAAAAGATTTAGCTGTGATGGGTTTTTAAAAAATACTAATAATGATCCTTCCAAACCATGATTTAAACACAGTACCAATCATCTCTTAAGAGTTTACCATTTCCTTTGGGAGCCTCTCCTAAAATTCATTTACTGAAATACTCAGGGAAGCTTAAAAATTCATTCTCTATCAAAGAGGGTGTGGCATAAGAAACTTCTGAAGAAGGACTATGGCTGGCTACGACTGAAATTGCAACTTCTATTATGGCTGCATCTCTGGTTGCAACTTCTATTTATAGTTTTATTCTTGAGTTACCATGAATTTGTAATAATTGATGCATTAAAACTTACCTTTTGATTGTTTGGAGTAATCCAAGAGTTTTTTAGAAGAAGCTTCTTCTTTGGGTTGATTTCAGAAAATTGTTCTTCTAGGGTGGTGTCTCTTGTGGATTTAAAAGGGTTTAGAAAGCTCTATTGAGTATTGAGCTAGAGTCTTTAGTCGTTGTTTCACGGAGGATTACTTGTCCTCTGATGTTGTCTTGTTTTCTATTCCCATCAATAAGGCATTTCTTAATGAAACAAAAATTTTGATTTATAGTTGTCTTTTTTTAAATATACCACTTTTGTTACCATTATACATGTTCAAGATGTAACTTGTCTTCTTTTTTTGTACCTATAAATTTATCTTAAAATTGACAGTTGATGGGCATAGGAGATGTGAAAAGTGGATGCGTAATGATATTGTAGACTCAAAAGAGTCCAAGACGACATCATGGTTCAAGCGGTTTATAGGACGTGAGCAAAAACCAGAAGTGACCTGGCCATTTCCTTTTGTAGAAGGTAGAATGTTTGTACTTACACTGCTTGCTGGCGTTGAAGGATACCATATTAATGTTGGAGGCCGCCATGTAACTTCATTTCCATATCGGACGGTAAGCTAACTGAAATGAAACTATTATTTATACTTCATGCTTGCATTAAATACCTTGACAGTATGAAATTGCATATCTAGCTGATTTAAAACAATTATCTGTCGTGGGGGGTTGGAGGGCATCAAATCACTGATTGGTCCCTTGTTTATTGATTTTCATAGGCTAATCTGTTTTGAGTCTGTACTCCTTTTTTCGTTTTTGCAAACTCTACCATGTATGTATTTTCTCCTCTTAATTATTTATTTTTGATGTCATTATGACAAGTTCCTTCATATAACTGCTTTTACTTTCCTGCCTTGGGGGTTTGGAAACATACTTTTTACATCTTCATATAACTGCTTTTATTTCATATCATCTTTTTTTTTTAATTTCTCATATTGATGGTAACAGCTCTTATCTATGTGGATAGGTTGCTCACCGTCAAAGCTTAAGCTTTGAGACTAGTTGGATTTTATCTTATTACTACCCTGGGCCCCTGGTTGTTTTGGCCACAGAAGCTTTTTCTTTTCCTCAGACATTTCCTTTTCTGTATGTCTCAGGGATTTACACTTGAAGATGCTACTGGGTTGGCAATCAAAGGAGAGGTGGATATCCATTCAGTTTATGCTACTGCTCTCCCTAAATCTCATCCCAGTTTCTCACCTCAGAAAGTACTGGAATTGTCAGAGACATGGAAAGCCAGTCCTCTACCGAAAAGTCCCATTAAACTTTTTATTGGAGTTCTTTCTGCTTCTAATCACTTTGCTGAACGCATGGCAATTAGAAAAACATGGATGCAATCAGCTGCAATCCAATCTTCACATGTAGTAGTACGATTCTTTGTTGCATTGGTAAGTCTTCTGCCTTTATATTTCGCTGGCAAAATTACTGTTAATTTATATGATTGAGAAAAAGTATTCTCTGGCAAAAGAATAATGTCATGATTTACTCTAGACTTTGAAGATTTAATGACGCTTAAGCTGAAATGATTAATATGTTAAAAACGCTTAAAATAGCCTTTCAATTATGCAGCTTCTTTCATTTTATAAGGTGGATTTGTCTCTTAAAGGCAGATATTCTAAATTGCTAAGATGTTGTCATTAAATGATGAATGTCCCCTTAAATTATAAAATGTTGTCATTAAATGATAAATACCCTTAAATTATAAATCATATATGTGAGTTATAAAACAAGACCTTGATTTCCCATGCTTGCACTGCTCCATTGAAGTACGAAAGAGGTGGAGAATTTGGGGATGGAAAAGTGACAGACAAGTGAGTTAACATGGTGCGCAGTCAAAAGGCATATATACCTAGGAGACCACAAGTTAACAAAAAGTTGGAAAGAGGGAGAAGGATATAAATTATCTAATGGTATTTAAGTTAACAAGTAAGAAGCTACATTAATATTCATGCAGATTATTGATCTTTTGTTTCATTTTAAAATGTAAAAAGCATTCCTTTTTGGTTGTGCCGTCACTATTCAGGCAATGTTGGGTCCAGATGTTGCATAGTTTATCAATTGTGCCGTCACTATTCAGGCAATGTTGGGTCCAGATGTTGCATAGTTTTCAATTAATTGATAAAATGCTTTGGGATCTAGTTAAGTCTGGCCTGAATTATGGGCTTCTTTAAATTGGTTTTAGAGAGTGGATAGGATAAAATTTGACCTATGCCCAGAGTTTCTAAGGGTTCACATGCATGAGGCTTCATAGTTCTTGAAAAATCTTTTCAAAGCTTTATTCACATTGGCAACACTACTCTTTCCTCCCCAGAGAAAGGACGCATGATGAGATACAAAGTTCTAGATTGATGATTTTCATGTGTGCCTTGACGCAAGCAATGTGAACATGATGAAAAGCCTAAACTGGGACATGGGCACCAACTTGATATGCTATTTTGGGTTTTATGAGGCTTTTCTTTTGTCATGATTATATTTTATTATTTTTATTAGTAATGACAACTTTGATTCGTAATCTCCACCTCTTTCCTTGCTGTAGATTTACTTGAATTGCTAGTGTCCTAGTTGTAGTGGATTTACCCAAGAGCATATACCACTGACCATTTTATTCCAGGATCATTTGTTTGCACTGGTTTTTTCTTTTGGAGACTGTGATATGTATGATAATTGGTATATTGTAATTGCTGAAGAACAATTTGGTAGCTTTTCTTGTGTACTCACTCATAATATTGCTGTGCAATTGATGGTTGCATCTGAAAATTTGACTTGGTGTTCTTTGCCATTCTCCAGTGGCTCAGCATCCATGTTCTTCTTTTTTTCCTTTTTTCTTTTTACACAAATATTCTCTCTTATTATGCGATTGCTAATTCATCTTTGTATTGTGGCTGTCATGAATAATCAACATGAAGAATCCCAGGAAGGAAGTAAATGCTGTGTTGAAGAAGGAGGCCACTTACTTCGGTGATATTGTCATTTTGCCTTTTATGGACCGCTATGAGCTTGTTGTTCTTAAAACCATTGCCATCTGTGAGTTTGGGGTGAGTTGATTTTAAGCCCTTGTTTGCTTTTAAAAGGGAGGGGGAGGGAACTTTTAAGAGTTGGTGTAGCTAATGCTATCCCTCTCCATAAAAAGTGCTATTCTTCTAGCTGCTGTCCTCTGTTTCCCTCTGGTACCAAACCGCTGTTTCTTCATGCAGGTTCAGAATGTGAGTGCTGCATATATCATGAAATGTGATGATGATACATTTATTAGAGTGGATACCGTCTTGAAAGAAATTGATCGTGTTCCCCAGAAAAAGTCCCTTTATATGGGCAATCTCAATCTTTTGCATCGGCCCCTGAGAAATGGCAAATGGGCTGTGACTTATGAGGTATTGTAATTGCAGCACCTTATAGAGGAAATAAAAAGTCAACAGAGAACTTTATATCCTGTTCGTTTACATGCTAGCTCTCATTCCACAATCCCAACTTTAAGAAGGATTATATTTTTATCTCACAGGAGTGGCCAGAAGAAGTTTATCCTCCTTATGCAAATGGACCTGCATACGTGATTTCCAATGACATTGTTCATTTCATCATATCTCAACACCAGAAGAGGAAGCTCCGGGTTGGTCATTCTACACTTATCTGGAATTCACATCTGTTTACCCCATTGTTTCTTATATTTTATTCTTACTTCAACGGATTATACTGCTACTTCCATGTTCATCCTCCTTATCTTTGTTTCTGGTGGCAGCTCTTTAAGATGGAAGATGTAAGCATGGGGATGTGGGTGGATCGATTCAACAGTACCATGAGAACTGTACAGTACTCCCATAACTGGAAATTTTGTCAGTATGGATGCATGGAGGGCTACTTCACAGCACACTACCAATCACCAAGGCAGATGATCTGTCTCTGGGACAAATTGACAAGAGGTAGAGCTGGATGCTGCAACTTTAGATGACGACGTGGAGCAATACTACTCGACTCGAGCCTTTCTGTATCATCTTTGTATTTTAGACCCCACCACTGACGACCGGGCAAGAAGAGAATCTAACACGAACACGTCCCTGGAAAGGAGGCTAATGAATTGCAAGTTTTCGAAGGGAGAAAGGATGGAGAGAATACGTTTTTGGGTGTGTGTGTGTATTGTGTAGAAGAGGAGAGGCATTTAATTGAGTGCCCAACTGTGACAAAACTGTTGATTCTTGCTGGTTCGGTGTATAATTGAGAGGTGCATTGTGTGTATCCGAGAATGTTGGCAGGTTCCTGTTTTTGGTCTATTTAGATAGATCAAGAATCTTAGTAGATTTTTGGTTTTTTTAATAGATTAAGAATCAAGGTAGATTTCTTGTTTTAGTCCATCTGGATTGTTTCAGTTGGTAGTCTCAAGCCTCACATGCTGTGGCACTCAAGTCCACGCATAAACAAAGCACAATCTAATTCATTAAAAATATGCAAAGAAAACTATGAAATTATCCATTTGTTAGAACAGATCATGGATAATAAAAACCCACGCATATCTTCGTCAGCTAAAGGTTAGTTCACTTGTCATGAGTTTGCGGCATAACCTGTAAGGTTATAAGTGTAATTCCCTCGTTTGTGGATGGATCTTTATGAGCGTTTTCTGGACTTAAGGCGTGCCCTCACCCCTTTGGTGAGCATTTAGGATTCGATTAATTATTAAAGAGCTACTCTTCCGGTCCTTAATATAGAACCCAATTATTGAGTTGGTTTTAGTTCTAAATATAAGACTTATTTTTCATTTTTATCAGTTTTTTTCTAAATTACCCTTATAGATACTCCCTCAACCATAATTAAGTAAAAGAAGGAGAGAAGATATTAAAAAAGATGATTATGGTGTTTTAGAAAAAATATATCACATTTTTTATAATTAACTAACTTACCTAACTTTTTTAATTTAATCAAATTAGTTAAGAGTATTAAATGAAATAAGATGTGAAATTAATTATAAAATAGAAATATTTTCGTTAAAAATATGTAAGAATTTGTCTCTAGTAAGTTGAATAACTTGGATTTGAAAGTTCTCAGACAAAATTAAAATATAAAATATGAAAAAAGGGTTATTAAATCCTGCTATATATGGAGTTGTCGTTAGTGAATTATATGGTGGTTGTATTTCATTTTCGCTCAGATTTTTGTTTTTAGTTCAATGATGGTTTTGTTGGCGACTTTGCGTGTCCAAGACGTCTGGGTCCCACTTACCTATCTGGCACGTGCATGGGCCCCCCTCACTTGCCGACTTCCCGCATAGAATTTCGAATCCCAACAAAAGTTTGAATAAGGCCCTGAAACCAGCGCAGCAAAGGGCATCCGGTCTCGTGTGAACCTGTCGGCAACATATCCGTCCGCCACGTGGCTCTCTTGCCTCCCTTGTCGACACGTGTCCTATGTCCTTGGCTGTTGCTCTGTGCCACGTCGGCTCCCAAAAATATCTACTTTTGCAGTTTTGCAGCACCTGGGTGCTGGGTGACATAAAATTTTTCGGCAGTCATGTTACGTTCTTCCGTCAAACGACTATATTAGCCTCCTCACTGTTATGATCATGGCAGCATGTCCCAAGAAAATTTTTATTTCGAGAGCCAAATCTCAAAAATCTATCAGACCAAAAAAAAAAAAAAAACTAAAATGATGTTTGGTATTGTTTGGGGGGAAATTAATATTTTGCCTCAATACTAATACTAATTGATTTTTATTAAAAATCAATTGAGATAAAATTAGTTGTATCAAGGTTGATTCAAATAAACTCAAGAGTTAGAGTAATGAAAGGGTGGATGACTTCGTAAGTGTGTGTGTGATGGTTAAAGACATAATTTCAAAGAACAAGTAGCATTATTTTAAATTATATTACCCTCCTGTTTTTAATATAAGAGTTTGTTTGATTTTTATTTTAGTCTTAAATATAAGATCCTAATCTACTTTGTCTCTTACATTTATCTATTTTCTCAAGATAATCCTTATAATAATGATAATTGTAGTTAATACACTTAATTAAGAATATTTTAAAAAAACAATACTTATTTATTACAAATAACTAACTTAATTAGTTTTTTTAATTTACACAAATTAATCAATTAGCTATTATATTAAGCATAGGAGGCAGTAATAGATATTCGTGAGATGATTATAAGTGCACTCTATCCCCACTTTGATTAGAATATTGTCATCTTTTGTAGTATTTTATTGATGACTTGCTGGAGCATTTCATGGATATCATTTTGAGTATTTTATTATTTTTTTAAAAGGTATTAAATCATGCTGAAGCAATTGATAGATAGTCCAGCTTCATTGTTTCCATTTGAAGCAACTGATCCAAATGGCCAGAATAATTGCATGCTAATATTTTCTTTAATCATTGAACCTCACGTTTAACTTTTTAAAATAATGATTAATATAAAAAATGATTACATGAGATTAATTTAGCGCATGACAGTATCTCGAATATGCTTGTTTTTAATAGAAGTATAACTATGCTTAGAGAGACAAAAAGAACTAAATAAATTTTTACATTACTTTTAATTTATCAATTTCATACTGTGAAAAGTCAATTAATCAATTCTCATTTATAAAACTCATTGAGGGGCAGTATAGGAAATTCGTAATTAAGCTGAGGGCATCGCTGTCGTATCACGATCTCGTTCGGTCCCCGACCCTTTTCCATTTTCAAATCTCTCCCTTTCACTGTCGCTCCAAAGGCCGAAAAAGAAAAAATTATTCTCTTTCTTTCAATGGGTCCCCGTGCCTCCTCTCCAATCCATATATTCCGCGCTCTTTTATCTCTCTCTCTCTCTCTCTGTGTGCGCATCAGATTCAGAAACTGAAAACGGAAAAAGGACGGAGGTTTTTTCTCTCCTCAAAATTGCATCAAAAATGGAGTTTCCCAAATGAAAAAGCGATACTGTCCCCACAACAACTACCTTGCTTATCCACACTCAACCGTATAGTATCCTGTGTCCCTTTTCTCTTAAATCAGTTTGGCTCTGTGCAAGCGCTTCTTCTTCGCCACCTGCAATTGATTCCTCGCTGTATGAACGGCATTTGAATTATCACACTTTGTTGAAGAAGGTAGATTAGGGCCTTCGACATGGATTTGTCTTCGTTCCTGACGTCGCTGGTGACGTCGTTTGTGATTTTCGTGGTGCTTATGCTTCTATTCGCGTGCTTGTCGGCTAGACCTGGGAATAATGTGGTGTACTATCCTAACCGGATCCTCAAGGGTTTGGATCCCGTGGAAAGCGGGTCCAGGATCCGGAATCCCTTGTCTTGGATCTCGGAGGCGTTGTCGTCGACGGAGAAGGAGGTGATCGCCATGTCTGGCGTCGATACTGCCGTCTACTTCGTGTTCTTGAGCACTGGTTGGTTTTTCGCTTTTCTTTATTACTGTTATTTTAAGACACAGTTCCTCTTTACTTCCCATTTTTTCCCCATGCACTTCCTCTCCAATCCATTTAGCTGTAGTTTTATTTACTGTGTTAAGTTTTTGGGCCTTATGCTTATACTTTTTCTTTAAAAAATTATTTTTTCCTTCTCAATTCAGAGATACATGATAAAAGGAGGAGCGCTGGTCCCCCAAAAAAAAAAAAACAAGATACAAGGAGGAGCGAGTTTACTAAATATATCATGAGTTCCTTTAAAATTACTACTATTATTTTTTAGTTTTAAAATATACTACCTAAATTCTCGGTTGAAAATAAAAATTAGTTTTTACCTTAATTTAATTTTTTATTTTTACAACAAAATATCCCCTATTTATTTTATTATTTAAAAATATTATATAATTTTACATTTGAATCGATGGAAGATAGTTTGGTTAAATGTTGTGTAGCTTTATTTCAAGAAAAATATGTAAAATTTATTTTTTAAAAGAATTAATTCTAATTTTTTATTTATAAAATAAAATTATGCGTGGATTAATTTTCGTTTTCAAATGATGGAATTAAAATTTAGATACATTCAATTATTTAAGGATCAAACTTTTTCGTTTGTTCTAAAATTCTGAGTATGTCTTTCTATAAAATTCATTGCGTTGGCTCAACTTTATTAAAGCCTTCTCTCTGCGGAGAAAGTTTACTTATTTATTTTATAATATTATATTTGCACATCAAGGTTACACATTTTTTAAAATATATTATTTTTGGGGGGGGGGGGGGATGTACTACCGAAAGGCCAAAACTGGGCAGTAGTATCACTTAAAGACTTCAGACCTAGTATATTTATGTCCCAAAAATGTGAATCCAGACTGTCCCTTTCTCTTCCCTAGTTACAAAATCAATATATACATTTTCTTTATTTTAGCAATTGCATGCCCTCTAATGATAAACTCTTGTTTACATTAAATGAAGCCAAACTAAATGGCATATATATGCCCATATCTATATTGATGATTTGTGAATAAACATAGTCTGCTGGTAACTGATGTTCTTCTTGTAATATGCCAGTGTTGGGTATCCTGGTATTATCCGGCATTATACTGCTTCCAGTTCTTCTGCCGGTTGCTATTACTGATAATGGAGCCATGTCTAATTCAAATACTGCTAGCAATGGGACGATCAACGAACTTGACAAGTTATCTATGGGAAATATCACAGTAAAGAGTCCCAGGTTGTGGGCATTTTTTATTGCCACCTACTGGGTCTCTTTTGTTTCACTGTACCTCTTGTGGAAGTCCTACAAACATGTATCATGCCTGCGATCTGAAGCTCTTAGGTCTCCTGAAGTGAAACCTGAACAATTTGCTGTAGTTGTGAGAGACATACCTACTCCATCTGATGGTCAGACTAGGAAAGAGCAGGTTGACTCATATTTTAAAACCATCTATCCTGAGACATATTACAGATCCATAATTGTCACCGACAACAAAGAGGTATTGTCTTCGCTACATTGTTATTATTCATGTGTTCTCAATTACATTCCTGTCCCTGATTCCCTACCCTAGCTGGAGTTTGCCTTTACAATTTATATTTGCTGTGCCATTTAGAATATTCTCCTTATAACTTAATTTGTCCATGGTGCTTCTTTACAATTTTTTTAATTTTTCGAGTCTTCAGTGTTGTAATATATAATTCAATAACTTTAAGATTAATGCTAACAGGTAAACAAGATTTGGGAGGAGTTAGAAGGGTATAAGAAGAAGCTAGCACGTGCTGAAGCTGTATATGAAGCGTCGAAAACAACGTCCAAACCAGAAGGAACAAGGCCAACTAACAAGACTGGTTTCCTTGGTCTTCTTGGTGAAAAGGTGGATACAATAGAATATTGCAATGAGAAGATAAATGAATTAGCTGCTAAATTGGAATCTGAACAAAAGGTCACTCTCAAAGAAAAAACAACAAATGCTGCTCTGGTTTTCTTCACAGATAGAGTAGCTGCAGCATCTGCAGCTCAGAGTTTACACGCACAAATGGTCGACACATGGACAGTGTTTGATGCTCCTGAGCCACGACAACTTATATGGTCGAATCTGCACATTAAGTTTTTCGAAAGAGAGCTTAGGCAGTATGTGGTGTATATTATTGTTGCGCTAACTATATTCTTCTTCATGATTCCGATTACATTTATATCTGCGTTCACAACTCTGAAGAATTTGATGAAATTTCTACCATTCATAAAGCCACTTGTGCGTATAACCGTTCTGAAGACAGTGTTGGAAGCTTACCTCCCTCAAATTGCATTGCTTGTCTTCTTAGCTATATTGCCCAAGCTCCTCTTGTTTCTATCTAAACTAGAGGGCATTCCAACCGAAAGTCATGCAGTCAGAGCTGCTTCTGGGAAATATTTCTATTTTACTGTGCTCAATGTTTTCATCGGAGTTACTGTGGGTGGTACCTTGTTCAACACATTCAAGACCATTCAGAAGAACCCGAACCAAATTGTGTCCTTGCTTGCTAATAAGCTCCCTGGCAATGCTACGTTCTTTCTGACCTTTGTGGCTCTCAAGTAAGTTATCCTCCGAATGTTTGGTTTCTTCTATTTATATTACTCACTCGGAGCAAGTAAAATAACCCTTTGGTTCATTAATAAAATATGAGAAATTAGCATGACTTGATATGTCTTTGAAAAAAAATCCTCGCCATTGTATTTTTTTATGGAAGAACCTAATTGTTATCACCTGAGAAACTTCACGCAAGTCTTGTGCTATTCGTAATGTCAGCCTTCTGATGATAGCTGAGTTATATTAAGGGGATTATCAGCGACTGCTGTTTCACACTATCTTTTTTAATTCCCCTTTTCCCCTATTTTCATTGAGACGCTTGAAGGAGGAGATAGTGTGAATGTTTTGAAACCTGGCTGTAAGAACTTGCTATATTTTCTCATGCTTTGGTTTCACTTCAAAAGTTTGAACTATTCCTACCAAACACTAACGAATAAAATTTTACCCATGCACTTTGTAACAAAATTTTACCTTTTCTTCGGATGCAGATTAACTGATTTGGATTTTTTTTCCCTTAACTGTTTGTCTCAGGTTTTTCGTTGGCTATGGGCTTGAACTTTCCCGCATAGTTCCTCTTATTATATACCATTTAAAGAGGAAGTTCCTTTGTAAGACTGAAGCGGAGTTGAAAGAAGCTTGGTTTCCTGGAGATCTTGGTTATGGGACTAGGGTTCCTGGAGACATGCTGATTGTTACAATTATCCTCTGCTACTCCGTTATTGCGCCTTTAATAATCCCATTTGGAGTTCTTTATTTTGGTCTAGGATGGCTTATACTTCGAAATCAGGTGAGGTTCTTGGAATTGTCTCACAGTACTTCAACTTTTTTTCTTACTTGATTTCTTATTGTAGCTTTAAAAATCCATATAAAGTATGAGAGTACAATATTGTCAAATTCTAAAGAGTAAACATTTTGCAATTACCGATCCTTTCCTTGAGTCATATCAATAAAATCTCATGTTTTAATCAATTTTTTTAACATTTTGTTTTCATCCCCTGTATCAACAGGCACTGAAAGTGTATGTTCCATCATATGAAAGTTATGGAAGAATGTGGCCCCACATTAACAACCGTGTGCTAGCATCTTTAATATTATTCCAAGTTACCATGGTTGGTTACTTCGGGGTGCAGAGATTCGTTTACGCACCATTGCTAATTCCTCTTCCTATCTCATCCATAGTGTTCGGTTTTGTCTGTGCAAAGAAATTCTACCCCGCATTTCAGCATCCTGCACTTGAGGTGGCAGCTCATAGTCTGAAGGAGCATCCCAACTTTGAGCAGATTTTCAGATCATTTATTCCACCAAGCTTGAGCTCTGACAAAGTTGACGATGAGGACTTTGAAGATGCTTTGTCAAGATCAACATCGTTTGTCTGATGTGTGCGTAATTAACTAATTATGTGAATTACAAATTACTTTCACTCAGCAATTATAGTGTTGTGGTGAATAGTGATGTTTTTCATTGTGTATTCTATTGATTAAATGATTATTTGTTGATAAATAGGCATTAGGGACAAAGTTTGTTTATTGTTTGTGTATCTTGTAATGTTACATTTATGATCATGTAAGATGGGTGGCTTGAAAATATTGTTAGTGTCAACATTCTGAAGTTAATGTGCAAATAGTTGGAACGTTTAGCTGATAGCTGTGGATGGGTATCCTACGTATGTTCAATTAGCTGAAAAGGAAGAACCTCATTTTCTTTCACTCTCCAAATACAAGGTTGTTGATTGTTTGCTTTCAAGTGTTTCCACAGAAGGAAAATGATTCAGTTGATGACTGTACGTATTTGAAACATCATGAACAGGTCACTTCACAACATAAATGATTTTACATGTGACGAGAAGGTCCGGAACATTGTGCCTTGCCAGGATTGTCCTCAAGCTCGTGCGCCGCCATCATCTTCCCAATATGTAATTGTTCAATTAAACTGAACATGCTAATGCTAAATCTTTACTTGTTCGTGTTTATTCATCGAATAGGGGTTGATTGTGTCATGGTTAGTACGAGTTACTGTTATTTTAAATATTTTTTGCAAGCTTAAATTGGAGTAAAAATCACGTAATAAATTTGATTGATATTTGGATCTTTTTTAAAAAAAAAAGTCAGTTGAGTTTTTTAAAATAATTATAATTGAGTATTTAGAGGAATCTTAGTTTTTGTGAAAGTCCCGTCTCCTTTCTAATTATCTTAGCATATTTTTCTATTTCTCTTCATGGGGAATTCACATAACCTCATACACCATAGCTCAAAAACATTTAAAAAAAATGACATTACATGCCAAGTTGAGGCCAACATTACCTTGTTGTTCCTCCCTCCTCTATGCATTTGCAAATGAAAGCGTACGTGTGGAGCCATTTTTGGCATCAGGCCTAGCATGTTTCTTTCCCTTCAGGTAAGAATCCTCTTTAGGTATTCATTATTTATTTGTGGAGCTTAAGACTAACACAATTTCCTCTAGAAAACACGATTTACTTTTGTAAATGTGATTAGCCTCAATCAAATTGAGCTATTCTATCACTAGACTAAGAAGCCTTTGCTCAGCCATTTTCAGATGATTAGTCCTCAAGCATCGCTCCACATGCTACCCACACAGTTGGGATGTCCATGAATGTGTTGTATAAACACTTATAGTTTACACACAAACACAAATATGAATTGACGGTGATTTTGTACTTTTACACTCAGCTTATAGATGAAAAATACTACATCCGTTCCTTATAAAGAACAAATAACCAAATTACGTTGATAAAAAAAAAACAGTTAAAATTAGTTGAGAACAATTAATATATAAAAAGTATAATGTTTTTTCCAACAATGTCCCATTAATAAGGAAAGATAGTATGAGAGAGAACAATTAAATTATTAATTGAAAGAAAAAGTGGAAGGGAGAGAGAGTATGAGTTGGAGACAAAATAAATAGGGTTAAAATAGAAAATCAATGCAAAAAAATAGAGACAACTTTTAAGTGTCTCTTATATATGGGAACATGCCATAAATCAAATGTCTCTTATAATAAGGAACGGAGGGAGTATTATTTATGGCTTATGAATATTATTCAAGAAGATGGGGAACAAACCCATGTCAATGATGGATGCACCTTCGCTCTTGTGCTTCAAGAAAAGCCATTCTAACTTCTTTATTTATTTTAAGTAGTTTACCTAATTTGAATAGTTTAGATTTAAGATAAAAATGAAAAACTGTATTTTTTTATTAAAAAATTAGTCTTTATTGTTTAGGGAACAATCGAAAGGTTAACATGCAAAGTCAAGCTATAATATGAACTATCTGACAAAAACAAAAATGTAAATTCTTTTCAAATTGAACACTGGTGTCTTGTTGAATATTGACTTACTTTCCCGTTAATTTGACTAAGTCAATGGTTAGATGGGCCCCTCCCTCCCTGAGGACATTCTTGAGTAACTTTTTTTAGTTTCATTGGTCATGTTTTTTAAATTTTTGTTGTTGAGTCTAATAATCACTTTTTATTATTTAATGTCGTATGATCCAATTTTTAAAAAATTGTCTGTGCAAATAATACTGTTAAATAATATCGTAATAATAATACATAACTATGGGAAAAAAAAGAAAAAGAAAGTACATTTCATAACCCACATCTCCGAGAGAATTTAATTAAGCTCCTCCAAAAAAAAGTGGTGCGTTTAATTATTATTTATTTTATTGTTGAGCAAATGCAATTTTTTATATTATCTCTGATTTTAATTATAAGAACTCGTTGGAATTAGATTTTGGAAAGATTAGGGGGTGTTTGGCATTCTCAAAACCGCGGTTTCAGAAGCACTTTTCCGCAAAACGAGGTAACCTCCTCCACATATTTACTTCGTAATCCGTAAAAGTACTTCTAAAACCATGGTTGGTTTCTATCCAAACACCCTCTAGATAGTCGTATATTATAATTATTTGCCGCGTGAACCGTGCGTTCACACGTGACTCAGTTTCTAACCTTATTTTCTCCTATTCTTGAGTGACAAGTAAACGAAGAGAGCTATGGGTCAACGCACTTATTCATAATGGAATACGGTCCACAACTAATATAAGCATGTTGATAAGAGGTGGATTAACTTAAAAAAATCATCATTTTATACTTTATTAGACAAAATTCCTTTCTCATATTCATTTCACAAAGTGCAAAATCAAATCTCTAAACTTAATCCAAATAGGCACTTATAAAGGTTTCTTTTTTCTTAAAAAAAATAGTGGTAATCTTTGTAGTCCTTCATAAACTCTAAGAGAATTAAATTATGTTATTGTTAAATAAAATTATGATTACGACCCCGATAATTATGATTTTATTACCTCATGTCCTTAATATAAGATCTCATTTAATTTTTATTTTGATCCTAATTATAAGATTTCAATCCATTTTGTCTCTCATATTTATCTATCTTTTCTCAGAGTAGTCCCTCTAATAATGATAGTTCTAATCAATAAATTTAATTAGTAAGGATATTTTAGAAAAAACAACATATATTTATTACAAATAACTAACTTAATCTACTTCTTTAATCTCTTCAAATTAGTCAACTAACTATTATAATTAGGACCGAAGGTAGTATTTTATTATTAGATTCATAATGAACTTGAATCCCTGGGATCTATGGCAAAAAATTAAAAAAAGGCATGTCAACTGGTATGACTACATAAAGTTGATCAAATATAATATGTTTCACATGGTGGCAAAAAAAATTCCTCATAGTTCATAATTTCATATAACTCAAATTCAATTTAGTCGAAAATTTTCAAAGATGAAAATTTGAATACGATTCTTTCTAAATTTCTCATCTTCCATTATCATTGCAGAAAAAATGCCACACCGTCCATATGTCGCTTCAAGATTGTGATTTTTATGTAATAACGCATCGTGCATTTGAAAGAAAATTTAATACAAAAATGCGTTCATTTATTGTTATTCTTTATTTATTACCTTTTATAAATATAAATCATGCAATTGTTTATGAGATACGAAGACAAAACAAAGATCAATTGATAAGGTCGGTTGGGTTCCTTTCGCTTTCGGTAGGTATGCATTGAGAAAATAACAGTGTTGTGTTTTGTTCGAATATCATGAAGCATGTAAAATTAGTATATAATTTTTTATTTTAATAAAATATGAATTGCACGTTTTAAAATATCATGATATTTAATGTTTTTATATTATGTATTTAAAATATTTTAAAGACGTACTAATGACAATGCACCATGCGATTTTTATTTTTGTTAATCTTATAACTATGCCTATAATCGAAGAAATTGTAAGGATGGAATAAAAAATCAAACTTAATTGAAAAAAATTAAGTGAGAGTATAAAGACATATGATTTTTATTTATTAAAATAATCAAACTGGAAAGAAGCATTTTAACTAGTTATATGGTCCTATTTATAAATTACTTCCAACATATTTCAAAATTCACACATACTAAAAAAACATTAAATTTTATTAACTCTTTCTTAAAATTTAATAACTCTCTAACTTTATCATTCTTTAATATATATTATACCCTGTTAAAAAATCAATATAATAATAAATAAAGAGTAAATTATATATTTATATGAAAAAAAAAATTTTCTACCTGATAAATAGGATAAAAAATTTGTTCTTTTTTGCCCTATAGATAGTAAGAGGAGTACAAATATAATTTGAGTAAAATTCCAATTGATGGGGTATTGGGTGTAAGTTTATTCAAACTTGGGTTATCACTTGCGGGGACTGAGAAAATGATTGTGAGTGAGAAAGTTGAGACATGCAACTTTTCAGACTTTTGACGTGGTTTGTAATACTATAAGACTCTGTCTTGGGGTTGTTCACTGGGAATTCACCAACCTTTTCGTTAGCATATTTTAAGGTGGGTTTGGAAATACTCCCTCGGTTTAAAATATAAGATAAATTTTATTTATTAAGAAACTAGTTAAAACCAATTTAAAACAATAAATATGGAAGGCTTTTTTTTTGTCAAATATGTATTGTTAATGAAAAAACAAATAAAAGATGCAATAAATGAATGAAGAGGAAAGAAAATATACAAGAGGTAAAATTAAAAAAAAAATTATTAAATGCTTAGACAAAAATCAATGTTATCTTATTAGAAAAAAAACCAAGCCCCACCATAAAGTTTAGTTTATATTTTGAATTAAAAGAGTATTTAATATAAAATCGCTTAAAATAAACTTATCTGTTTGTTGTGGTGTTTGAATTTGTTTATGGTTGTTTGTCAAATTTTTTTTTCAATTTATCGGGTACTTTATTTTCCTATGACAACCCTCTCTTTGCTTCAGTTGTATAATACCTCTGGTCCTTATTATAAGACTCCGTTTGACTTTTTTGTTTGGTCCTAATTATAAGACCCCAATCCATTTTGTCTCTCATATTTATGCATTTTTTTCAAGATAATCCTCCTAATAATGATAGTTCTAGCCAATATACTTATTTAGCAAGGATATTTTAGGAATGACAACACTTATTTATTACAAATAAACTAACTTAACTTACTTCCTTAATCTCCTCAAATAAGTCAACTGGGTCTTATAATTAGGACCGGAGGTAGTATTTTGGAAGGGGGTCCACTTCATGGTGTGTTACTACCTCCGGT